GCAGGTCCAGTCGCAGGAGCGGTTCTGGACGCGAAGGCCTTTTCCAGCACCAAGACCCGGGCCCGGATCGGTCCTTTGCCCCCTGTGCTTCACCCCAGGGAGGTGCTAATGTCCTGATGGCTTGTGCGCCATGTGACTCAGGCCAGCGCCCCGTGCTCCGGGTCAGCGCTCGGTCCTTCTCACTCTCGGTGACTCATCGATCTCATTGAGCAGATCCTCTTCGCGAGTTTCTCTCTGGCCCGGCCCGGCCCGGCCCGGCCCGCTTTCACCGTCTGTCACAGACGTGCGGCGTCACGCGAAAGATTCCTGTTTCTAGGAGGTAAACCGCTGCGCATTCTCAGTCATCGGCAGAACGAGGTTTCTCTGCGATGGCGACACGGCTGCCTTCTGTCTTTGTCTTGATAGCAGCCTGGCGATAGTCTCCGAAAAGGATTGATTTGGAATATTTCAATGTCATCAGAAATGATGGCCCTGAAATGTTCTTACATAAGTAAATGTTTCATCAGACCTCGAGATGGTGAAATATTTGTTGCATTCGGTGACAAATATATTCAAAACGCTCACCTATACATGAGACATTGTAAGCAAGGAATTGGAAATGATCAAGTGTGGTTTTGGTAAACCAGTCGTTTCCCTGGCTTTCAGTCATTGGCAGCAAAGACAGGGGGTTAATTCTTCTTTGCTTGTTTACTTTAGGGAAGATTAGCTGACTGCCCTTAGGGTTTATGAGTATTACAGTGTGAATCCAACTGCAACATCCCCCCCTAGTGGCTACGATGTGAAAGCAAAAATCACCAGGAAAATATGCCTCGTCTTAATCCTGTCTTTAATATTTATATGACACAAGGCAGTGGTGTAATTAGTCCAGGCGTATTATGGTTGCCATAATGCGTGGAAACCGCTTGAAGCGGATTCCCCTAAGGTGCCTGAAGAAATGCAATCAAGAAAACACTAAAAACTAATTCAAGATGGTGGAAGGGTCTGCTGGCGACTGTAACCCTGCCTAAATCCCGAGTCACCAGCCTGGTGTAATGTCTGAGGCTCCTCTGGGGGGGCGCTCTTGGGGAATCCTTAGTGCAGCAAGGCCTCTGGCCTGTGATCTGTAACGTACTGAAAGCGCCATAAAAATATTTCACCTGTGTCTCATTAAGAAACGGTACGTTATCGCGTACTTTGTGGTAATCACGTGATAGCGCTATTGCCATACAATAACCTAAATGATCGTAAATTGACTTTCGGTTTTAAGCAGTGGGATCGATTGCCCGTCGGTACAGTCTTTTCTTGTTGAAGGATACGTCTGACTGTCCTCAGTCTTATAATGATTGTTCACATTCGCTAAGAATTGTGACACTTCATTGTGACTAAAGCCCAGCAGAAAGTAGAGCAGGTCGGAGCACATCCTGCAGACGTGCGCGCTGTCAGAGCACTGAGCCCACAGGTCTCGGTGCTTCACTGTCCTGCAAGAGGCTGCTCATACACCGACATGATGATTTTTTGTACTTAAAAATACACACAATTGTCCACGAGATCCTGAAATGTTACAGATATTGATGGCTGTCTTCAATAATGTCTTCATGCAAGAGTTCATGTATCACTATTTTTACTCGTTGCTGAAGACGGGTCACTAAGTCTTTGTTTTTCTTTCTGCTTTGTGACAGGGCCTGTTCTGATTTTGATCTGAGGCTTGGAACCCGCAATTAAGGATGTGATCTGCGACCAGCGAAAGCAAGCACACCGGCCATGTGTGTTATCTGACGGAATCGTGACTTTTGGATTAGTCAGGGGGCGGGCATTCCACTGAGAAAAGGGGCGGGGCCGAAGACGCCTTGGCCTCACTGAACGGCGCTGTGGGCGGGGTCTGGCATCCCGGCTTGCGTTTCGAGGTGACGTCAACACTTTGTTGTGTTGCCAGGGGCAAAGGAAACCCTGCCTCCTCGGCAACGAGCTGGGGAGGGGGGAGAGGAGGAGGAGGAGGAGGTCAGTACGGCGTACGGGATGGGTCAATCCTCTTCCTCGTACTCCGCAGCCACCTCTGCCAAAGCGAAAGGGAAATCGGCGGAGAGAGCGGCCGCGAACAGGCGAATGAAAATCCGCAGAATTGCAGGCGAGGAGCGGAGGGACGACCGGTTCGACAGGAATGCAGTGAAGAAGAAGGAGTCGCCTCGGATTGCGGAGACGCTGCGGGGCACCGGAGCCGCAGAGGCGGGGCTGAACGGGAGCGGAGATCCGCAGGCTGGTCCCGGGCAGGGAGCAGACGAGCGGCTCAGGGCAGCTGCTGACGGGACCGAGAGGGGCCGCTGGGGGCTCCAGCCTGGGACGATCGGGGTCTCGGGCAATGGGGCGCTAGCGGGGGGCCCCGGCGATCGGTCTGTGGATGAAACGCGTCTGGGGCGAGGGGCGAGAGAGGACGGACGGGGGGGCCGGGGCAGGAGCGGCGCGGCAGCCG